TCAACGGACGGACCCTCAAAACCTCCGTTAATGGCACCGATATTGAGATGACTCTCAAGGATATCGGTGAACTTTTTAAATTTTCTTTTGAGGGTTGTGATTTCCAAAAATTCACTTCTAAGGATTTCAAAACCTTTTCTTCTTATGACACCATTACCGAGGTGTGCCTTGAAGAAGTTCTTAGGCGTGAACGCCTAACCGTTGGAGGTCTTAAGCCTCATTTTCGAATTCTTCATTATTTCATTTCGAAAGTATTAGCTCCTCGTAAGTCGAGCCATTCCAAAATACTTTCTTCGGACACTCGTCTTCTCTTCGTGTTTTTGAACAATATCAAAATCAATTGGGCAAAATTCTTTTGCAATAACCTTATTCTCATGAAGACAAAAGGGTCTCTTGGGTATGTGTTCCCGATCATGGACATTTTGAAAGCTTTTGGAGTGCCTTTAAAAGACATCCACGTCCAAAAGGACCACACGTGGTTCATCGATGTCGCAGCTTTCAACCGCTCTAATGTACCAAGGGCCGTGCATGAAGAAGGAGGAGAACAAGGAGGAGAACAAGGAGAAGAAGAGGGTGAAGTAGAACATGACCAGGAGGGCGAACCGGCGCATGTCCAAGAAGTCGCTCAAGTGGAATCGACTCGGCGTTCCTCTCCTACTCGGGTGTCACGCTCTACTTCATCGCACCGCGCTAATCGTTCCATTCTTCAACGGATTTTAGACGCCGTGACTTGCACTCGCACAGATGTGGCGCATACTCGCATGGAAGTGACCATGCAAGGCCATCGTCTCTCACGGCTTGAGCAGCGGATGACGGAGATAGAGCGACGACCATATTTCGGACCGCGTCACAGTTACAGTGGTGGATCCCGGCCGTCGAGCTCACTTTGACTTCTCTCTCTCTCTTTATGTGATGACTTTTATGACACATTGTTAAATGTTATTATTATTATGACTTTTTTGGTGGATGATGATGCTATTTTAATGATGCTCGTTATTATTAATCATGATTGTGTATTGTATCTTTGTTGGATTGACAGTATTGTTCTTGTTTAGCACATATTGTCCCTTTGAGGCATTTGTTTTAGGAGTTCTCTTTTAAAGAAAACTCTTGCCCCTTTTTTTTTCTATCCTTCAAAATCCCGGCATCAATTTAGAGGGAAGGTTATCGGTTGATAATGCCAAAAGGGGGAAGGAAGGATAGTTGAGAAAACTTGATTTTCAAAATCGTTTTTTCCGCTTATTACTCCGATTATTTTTACTGCACTTTTCTAACCTTGCAGGGGGAATCAATTAAGGGAAGTATTTCTTGAATTCTACTTTGCTTTTTCTCAACTATGTTTGTCATTATCAAAAAGGGGAAAATTGTTGGACATGAGTTCAAATCCCTTTATTATTTTTCTGGAATATTTTTGTTTTGATAAATGACAAACAGGATGATGAAATTCAAACGATAATCGAAAATTCATTTTTCGTATCGAGAAAAGCAAAGAGACGTATCAAGAAAGTTACGGGATAAAATCAACGCTCACCCCTACGCAGTTTTTTGAAGTGAAGTGAAGACTCCGAAGACTTTTTATTTTTATTGAGTCTAGGAATTCTTGTAAGGATGACAATTATTTTTGCACAAACAAATTAATTTTGAGGGATAAAAATTATTATTTCTTGAGTCAGTTGAAAAATTATTTTCTCTCTGTCTAAAAATATTCTTTTGAGTCAGTTTCAAAATAGTGTGTCAAATTTTTTAAATATTATTTAAGGATACACAATTTTTTTTTTTTGTGGTAAGAAAAATGTACTTTAAAGAATTTTTTTTGTACATCGTTTGACACACAAAATATTTTTGGGACTCAAATTTCTACACCAAAATTCAAATATTTAATTCAAATTTTGAATTTGAATTAATTCCTTCAACCTATTTGATTTGTTTGTTTTTGGGAGCCTTATCTCACTCAATTTGTTGTCTAAAACAAAGCATTAAGCTCCAATTTGTACATCCCACTCGCACACATGTCTTGGGTCCTCATGTTTGAGGATTGTTCGTCAGTGGATCGATCCATTTGGTAGGATCGATCACCGCGATTTGTGCTCAGGAATTTGGATCGATCCATTTCCCTGGATCGATCCCCCGAAGAGTTGCAAAAACTCATTTCCGGTTTTTTGGTCCCCTTGGATCGATCCTCCGTGCGTTTGACACAAATTTATTTTCGGAAGTTTACTCCAGATGATCGATCTTTTGCCCTGGATCGATCCCCAACGCTCCAATCTGTCAAAATCACCTCTTCCCTACTTCCAACGGATTTATTTCTTTTCCCCTATAAAAACACTCATCCTCCCTCATTAAAAACATATCTCTTGCACTCCAATATCTTCATTGATCAATATTCAATTCTTGCTTCCATCTTCCTCATTAAATATATTATTTTGAGAGTTAGAAATATTTTATTGAGTGCTAAAGTTTTTGTCATCCACAGAGCTTTATTTCTTCAACACTACTTTGCTCAATTGTGTGAGCTTTCATTCCTGTGTTGTAAACTCAATCTCATTTGAGTGTTGTTTTTAAGACTTGTGTGACTCAAGTCTTGTTGTTGTAAGAAAGTGAGGCTTGTGTGATTCAAGTTCTCAAGTTGTACCGGTTTTTCAAGCACACGTTGAAGCTTGAAGATTAGTAGGACTTTCGAGAGAGTCTCTCGGAGGACTGGACTAGCCACGAGGTGGTGAACCAGTATAAATCTCGGTGTTCTTCTTTCCCTTACTCTCTTTATTTATTCCTGCGATTTTATTATTTCACACACGCGAAAAACACACATTCTTGAAAACAACTCTATTCACCCCCCTCTAGAGTTGCACACTTGTCTAACAGGGATTACTCACAACAAGGCTTCCGTGGCCTACCCGCAAGGGAATGGCCAGGTGGAGAACGCGAACCGCACAATAGTGGATGGGATCAAGAAGCGGTTGTGTGAGGCAAGAACGAATTGGTTAGAAGAGCTGCCACATATCATATGGGCGTACCTGGTCACTTCGAGAAGGGCCACAAAAGAGACACCTTTCGTCCTTACATACGAGTGTGAGGCCAGATTGCCAATTGAGGCAAAAGTAATGACCTTCCGAGAAAAGATCTATGAGGAGAAAGGGAATGAAGAAGACCATATGGCAGAGTTGAACTTTTTGGAAGAAAGGCGGATGGTCGCTGAGGCTAAAATGGTCGAATATCAGCAAGTAGCCAAGTCCTACTGACGAGGTCTTGAGACGAAGGGAGGCCAGCAAATCAGGAGACAGGGGAAAGCTCGCAAAGAAATGGGAAGGCCCGTATAGGGTCACAACAATATTACGCCCTGGGACCTACAAGTTGGAAACATTGGAAGGTCGAGAGTTAGAAAGGTGCTGGAATTCCCACCACCTTAGAAAATTCTACTGATAAGCCGAATTTGGCAAGGCATGTATTTGTAATACCCCTTCGATGATAAATAAAAGCTTTCTTCAATACTTGTGTTGCTGAAATAACTTGTCTTGATGTAAGAGGCAAGGTCAAAATAAAAAAAGACCCTTGAGATAGGGGCCTTGATGTTGAGGTATAGCCTTGAGATAGCCTGGGTCTGGAAGAGGACTCGCGTCCATACTTACATGGATCCCTACCAAATTTTTGTTTGAATAGGGGCGAAAAGATGCCAAAATAAAAACGTTTACCGTCTTGCATGAGCGATCCTTTGCGGATTAAAGGGTCTAGGGAAGACTAGAATTCACTTCAAACGCATAACATATGGACATGTAAGATTGGATGAGGGCTGGTTCTCACTGGCATACCCCCACGAGGGAAGATTGGGTTGGCTAGGTCAACCTAATGATTAGAAAATGGCACATTAAAAGACTTAAAACCTGGAAGAGGGACCCTGTTCAAAATCTCTGAAGAAAGGTCGGGTCTTGATGTTGAGACTTAAGATGAAAACCGTTTCGGAATATTCGTTCGAAGTTTGGTTGAGGCCGGTGTTGAACACGATAGACAGGAGGGCATGGTCAAAAAGTGACCGGTCACTTTTTGATGTTCTGGATTGGCAAGAAAAGGCGAATGGGAAAAAATTAAAATTTGACCGGTCAACTTTGAGAAAAGTGACCGGTCACGTTTTTAAGGTTGGATTTGAGGAAATCAGATAAATCTGGAAAACTTCAATTTTGACTAGTCACATTTTTGGCCGAACACCTGGACCAAAATTTGACGCAGACTTGGTGGCGCAATACAACCAAAACATTGGAACTTGATCAGGACGAATTCAACCTAGCCTATTAAACTAGGACATGAGATGACCTAGACACTTGTTACATTTCAACATGGACGTGACCTGGACGTTTTCAAGATTACAAGACCTGGACGCTTTCAACAAAGCCTACCAGAGAATTGGAAATTAAAGACATGCAATTTGAAGTAACAAAGCCTACCAAAGGAAACAGCCATGTGAGAAAAGAAATTCAACCATGCAATTTGAAGTAAGTATGACCGGTAAAAATTAAAGACATGCCAAGAAAATTCAAGTATCATACGAGTTAAAAGTAGGCCAGACATCCCCCAGGCCTTGGGAAAATTCAAAGTTTTTACATAAAACCCTAACCTATTGTAAAGGGAAAGGGGGGGTTGGCTCTTCCTTGTATAGGGATGGAAGCTTCAACTTGGCCGGTCAAATGAAGGATCCCTCTTCTGGAGCCTTGTATAGAGTAGGGACCTTTCCTCTTTTTGGCCGCACTGGAACGCGTAAGACCCAATGTCAGTGATCATTTTCTTCCCCTCTAGCTCTTGATATATAACCTTGAAGAAGTCCATGGTTCTTCCGGTGAGGTGAGAATAGACCGGGAAACTTCCAAGTGATGGCGTGCAGCCCAGTGAGCAGCTTCAGTGGGAAAGGCCTCCTCTTTTGACCTGGCAGATTCTTCGGCCTGCCCAAAGCGACTTCCAGCTCAGCCACCTTTCTTTTCTCCTCCACCAACTTGGCCCTTTCTTCCTCTAACCTGGCCCTTTCCGCCATCAGGTCTTCCTCAGGCCTCCTCTCCCTTTCAACCCGGTCATAATCTCCAACTTGGCAGAATCAAGGAGGAGGGTGAGTTGGAAGACCTGATCCTTTGGCTCCAAGAGTGATTGGCTGATCTCTTCTGAAATGACCCCGGCCTACAAATTCAAAAAGAGATGCATCAGTAAACATAAAGGGAAAACATAAACCGGGAAGAAAAATAGAGATTGCAATACCTTGCTATGTTTTTTGGCCAAGGCTAGGAAAGTTTCTTCGATGGACTCCCCCTCCAGATCTGATAACCCGATCTTCTTCTTCTTATTTCCCCTGGAAGTCTTGTGGGAGCCCTTCCTTTTTTGAGCCTTTGTGTGGGAGGAAGAACGACCGGTCTCTTTTCCTATGGCCTTGACATCCTTCTTTGGGAATTGCCCCGGTCACTTTCAAATTGATGGGTGGCCGAAGGGGATTTTAGCTTCTGGCTATGTATGAGCTCATGGATAGGGGTGCACCGGGCACTTGTGGCCCCTTCCGTTTCACAGATGTGAGGAGGAGAAGGAAGGTTGGAAGGAGACTGGTTGGCATGGAGGACTTCAACATCGTCGTCATCTGACTCAACAAGAGTGGACATCCTGGTGATGTTCATGTCTGCCAAAGAGAACAAAGCAACAAATGACCGGTTAGATATTACACCTTATGAAAATAAAAGTGAAATCAAAAGCTTGAGGAAAATTAAGCAACCTGGATGAGGAGATCTGGCCTCAGCATGACTACCCGGGGTGTTCACCCGGTCATCCTCTGCGTCATGGGTCGCAGACACACCCCCATCCGGGTTAGATAACCGGTACACCCATCCACCGTAAGCGTATGGCTTCCCGGTCACAGGATCACCCTTGAGAAGTTTCTCGCAGGCGTCCTCAAGCTCAGGGGTAGGTTCCGGGTGAACCCTTTCAGGTTTTATAACCCGGTCAGCCCACTCAAGGTTGGAGAATGGGAATTGGTCAGTGGGAAACTCAATGAAGACGAATCTCTTTTTCCATTTCTTATGCCTAGGGGGAAGACTGGTCAAAAACCCCCTAGTGTTGGCTCGGGAATAGAAATAAACAATGTCCGGGCAGTTACTAGTCCCGGGCAAGACGTCATGCATGTGAAGAAAAAGATCGATGGAGGGTTTGATTTTTAAACTCTCACAAATATTAATAAAGCAGTTTAAGAACCGGTGAGCATTTGGAGTTAACTGACCAGGAAAAATGTGAAACTTATTACAGATTTCAATAAGGAGGGGGCGAAGAGGAAAGATAATGCATCCCTCCAGAGAATCAACATGGAAACCCAACCGGGTTCCTTGATGGGGTTCTATGATGTTAGGCCACGTGGTTTTTGAAATGAGTTTATAGCCCGGTGGGAGGACGGTACGGACCTCCGCCAGAACCTTCTTAGTAACCCTAGAAGACTCTTTGAAGACCGGTCCGGAGTTAAGGACTAGGTAGCCTAGCGACCCCAGTCATTCTTCCCATTGATCCGAGCTGAGGACCTTGGGATTGAACTGACCGGGTAGTTGGTTCAAAGGGACAGGCTCCTGGGCAATTATTTCCTGGGCCTGAGAGCTAGACTGATGGGAGGAGTGACGAATTAAAGGAGTAGGAGGGGGAGAAGATGATTCAGAGTGGGAAGAGGAAGAGGGCTGAGAGCCTGACCCATAGGATTGGCCAACTATGTTTTGACTATCAGATGATGACATGACTCTAGCCTACCGGTGAAAAATGGAAAGATGGAAGAATTAAAAGACTAGGAGCACTGGAGGAGTTACTTGGCAGAGATCTAGAGAGAGAAAGTTGGCCGGTCTATGTTGGGAGAGCGAAGGAGAGAAGTGAAGAAATGAGATGGGTTAGAGGGGTATTTATAAGAGAGAGAGAGAGAGAGGAGGGTTGGAATTTGAGGCGACAGGTGGGAGGCTGCGGGGGTGACACGTGGAAAAGGTAATGATGAAGGGGATAATTTGAATTTTGAATGTGGAATGTGAAAGGTTTTGAGGGGAAACTCCAAAATCCAAAAGCCAGGCCCAACGTTTGGGCTACCACAGATCCAAAAGGAAAGGTCATGAGGTATATTCAACGGATATGAACGTGACAGGTCATGAAATGGCTTAATGATTCAAAATGGACAGGTCTCAGAGGATTCCAGAAAAGGACAGGTCTGAACGGAAAGGCCTGATAATTCCAAAAGCGACATGTCAAGGAGAGATCTGGTAATTCAAAGAAGGACAAGTCTTGAAAAGGAAAGGCTTGATGATTCAAAAGGATAGGTCAACGAGAATGACTTGATGATTTCAGAGAAGGACAAGTCTTAAAGGGAAAGGCTTGATGATTCAAAAGGACAGGTCATGAGAGAGACTAGGTGATGTAAAATTAAAGGACTGGTCAACGAGGGTGACTAGATGATTTCAAGTGTGATAGGTCAACACAAGTATACTTCCCGCCCTTGATGATTGCCTCACAAGGCCGGTAAGTGGAGGACTTCTTGATGGGTATATCCTTATACCCGACCCGGATAACCGAAAGAGACAGGTCAAAATATGACCGGTCACTTTTATCAATCACCAAATGAGGTTAACTCTTCGATTGGGATGGGTCAAAAGTTGACCGGTCACTTCCATTAAAAAAGTGATCGGTCACATTTTGGACGATAGCCAAAATGTCACCTAATGTTACGAAGAATATTCAGGAAGACAAAAGAGACGGGTTGAGCTCAAGAAATGATCGGTTAACCTTTGAGAAAAGGTGACTGGTAATATTATCTTACTTGGAAAACATTGGTCCAGTCTGTCAGGCATGGTGAATCACGCCAAAGATCGAGGGACCACCCCGTCATTCATCCATCATGAGGCAAATAGTGAAAGGGATGTTTGTCAAAAATGCACTCTCAATTTGCACCAGTGAATATCTTCAACAAGAATTCACTCACAGTAGTTCGCACTTGTGAATTTTTTCGATTTCACTTCTCAATTTTGGTTCCTCGTCCTTCTGTATATGCACAAAATACGTCGTCATTTTTTTTCGAAAGAGAAAATGAAACTGACAATTTCATTTGGTAAAAAAATGAAACTCGGATGTGTTGTTAGTTTTAGCTTGAATGTGTTGGTACAAAATATTGCATAGATCATGTCTAAGATCAATGAAAATGGAGCAGACGCCCCCCGACGTCAACCACTGTTTGACGCCCTTGAGGCGTTAAACACTGCCCTCCTGGCAGGGTTATGGGGCGTGAGCTCCAACGCGATAAACATTTGACGTGTCTCCCCCCTCCCCCAACGGCTCTTTAAGCCGTTAATCACAAAACAAATTAAATTTAAAAAAACTTATAAATCCAATCAAAACAAACCTATCTCTCACACATATCTCACTATCTTCTCTCTCTAATTCTATCAAATATTCTTTCAAATATTTTTCTATTTTTTATAATTATTTCTAAAATATATTTTAAAAATGGGATCATCTTCATCCGATGATAAAAAAGAGATCTCATTTTTCGCTGTTTCGCCACGAGTTGTTATCAATGGTGACCACTGAAAGGTAACCATGCAAGGATAGGCAGCGGAATATAAAAATTTTTAACATCCTAACATGATTATCTTGCCCAGAATCACGTACTAAAACTTATAGTGAGTAAGAAATTTATACCTTTCTCCGTAAGCGGTAAAAACGAAGAAGTCGTAGGAAGAGCGTTGAAAGTGCAAACGTAACCGTTCAAGCGTCCGGTCTCCAACTTTGACACACGAACAACGCCGGAGTCTACCACAATCTTTATGCTAGTAAAGATTATAGTAGTATAAAATATAAAGATTAAAATTTGGGATAATAATAATCTTATATATTTCTATAGAAAATATTTCTAATAATATTTGGAAAATATTATAGATATTTTCTATACACAAAATGACATTAATGGAACCAAACTAATATTTCTCTCTCACTAGAAAAATTATGGCCGAATTTCCTTCACAAAAAATCATCATGTGGTTTGTGAAAAACCAATCTTTTAAAGTGGACTAATTGTGCGTGACGTGTATATTTAAAACAAAGATTAATCAAACTATTTTGTCATTAGCTAAATGACAAAATTAACTAGCCACTTAATTATCAATCAAGAAAATTTGATTCTCAAAATCCTTATGATGGCCGAAAGTTTGATTATAAAAGTGAGGAGGATTCTTGAAATTCTTCTCCACTTAAATTTTCAAAGTGTATTTTATTTGACACCAAAAATTAATATAAAATTAATTTTAAATCAAATAAAAATACCAATATCATTTTTAAACAAGTATACAAATATACTTTAAATAGTTTATGTCAAAATAATTATTTTCATAATTAAAATGACAAACCAAAATAAAATATTCAACATATAATATATATATATATATATATTTCGGTATTTATATATATATATATATATCACCGAATGTTTTACATATATATAATATTATATTCCAAAATATTTTATTTTACTATTTTACAAATATACAAATTACTTATTATCCCATTGTTTAATCCTACTCCTTAAATTGTTCAAAGTATGTGACTCGTATAGGCACTTATAAAGCTGGCCACAGTATTGGCTCTGCACCAATACTATAAGCAATAAGCGGTATCTAGCAACACATTATTGCCCCCAGATTATAAGTTAAGACGTTTGCACCGTCAAAACCTTTCCACGACTCAGACTCCGTGTAACTGTATCCCTTTGTCTCAATGTCTAAACTTAATGCAAGGTATTAATAAAATCCAACTTGTATCCATTAAGTCATTCACTGATTTATCAAGTCTGACTAATAGGAACAGACGTCATAAAAGCATCTCAGCATGGCCATGCAATTTCCTCAGTCATGACTTATCAGTGGGCCCCATAAGACAGACATTAATCTCTTTAAAAAGAGTAGTGACAAATCCTATGTACGTAATCTACGTTTCTGAATACGCGCTGCGGCATACCCAAAACAAAGCCTGTATACCATCCTTATTTCATATGGCTCAGGACAATGCATCAAAGCATGCGGGTTCACGTATGCAGAAAACGTAATACTTCAAGTCGAAGGATAGTTACACCCGTGGTCGCGCTAAAGATGCTTAGAGCATGAACTAAAAGTTCAAGCAACATCTTTAGGATGGGTCAGTCCGGCATCCTATTATCTCTAGATAATATCTGCCCATGTGCGGATGCAAACACACCGTCATTGACTATGAGACTAAGTCAAACATCCAACACACACTAGTCTCACATGCATTAACAATATCCCACTCTCGTTAATACTCGACTATGGACATTTAGATAAATATTTATTTCAAGATGTTAGTCTCATCAGCAGAAGAACACTATTTGATAAACATCTTTTAAATATAAATCTAGGAATATAATATTTGTTTACATTAGCATGAGATGTGTAAACATATTATATCTGCCTATACATGATAGAATAACGATAAACAGTTGGCCATCAGGGCACAACTCCAACAATCTCCCACTTGCACTATGGCCAATCTGGCATGAGTCGAATGCCCATGGACCTAGTGTGACCCTCATGCTTTAGCTTTCCTAAAGGCTTGGTCAGGGGATCGGCTATGTTGTCGCAAGTATCTACTTTGCAAATCATCACATCTCCTCTATCTACGATTTCTCGTATGATGTGATAGCGTCGTACAATGTGTTTGGTTTTCTGGTGAGATCGCGGTTCCTTTGCCTGTGCAATGGCCCCAGTGTTGTCGCAAAACAACGAGATAGGGTCATTAATACTAGGAACCACTCCAAGTTCAGTAATGAACTTCTTGATCCAAACAGCTTCTTTAGCTGCCTCGGCGGCAG